GAGGAAGATGAGGGCCCCGCTCGACATGCAGGCACGGGAGCCTATTTTTGTGAGTGTGCGGCCACGTCTTCATTCATGTCGCTTCACGGCCCCGCTGGCCGTGGGTCCAGGCCCCCAGGGAGGCTGTGCGGCAGCAACCAGCCCTCTGGGTTCCCCTCTGCAGGCGGGCGTGTGCTGCTCCCTACTTCCCGTCTCTATGAACCATCAGGAGTCCCCTCCTGCTCTCTAGAAAGGAAGAGAGAAACTGGGGACACACAGGACTCTGAGGCCTGGTGTCAGGGGCTTGCCGTCTGCCTGGAGGCGTTGAGGGGCTGGCAGGGCAGACAGGGTCAAAGGGCATGGCCTCCTCCCCCACCCAGCGTGTCCCACCTCCCACCACCGGAGCGCAGCTGCCGCCCACATCTGGAATCAGCCTCGGCCACCACAGGCAGGCCCGTTCTTAAGGGCGAGGCAAAGGGCGACCGGTCGCCTCCTGTCCGGACACGGTGGGATGGGATGTTACTAAGGAGGGAAAACCACCAGGCTGATGGAGAGGCTTCTCATTCAGAGACTTCTGGCTTCAAGTTTTTCCTTTAGGAGGTGATCGGATGGGGACAAAACCAGCTGCGTCTTTGACCACCGGGCTTCTATTCAGATTCAGTCAAATTTCTTGTTATTTGGGAAGTTTCCCATCCTAGTTCCTTCCACATTTAAAATCTGCCCTGGACACAGAGGACAATGCGGGTGGCAGAGGTCCTTGGGGCTGGCTGAGTTGCTGCTCTGTGTGTGTGTTAATGGGTGTGAGTACACGGGAAGGTGTGCATGGGTGTGTGTGGGTGGGAACCGCAGGCTGTCCGGGGCTGACACCCACTGCAGTGCCTCCCTCTGCAGGACCTGCTCAGCTCTTCATTCGCCGCACAATTCACAGGCCGAGAGCCTAAGCGGTCAGTTCCAACGCCTCAGCCTGTGCCCCGCTCCTGTCCTAACCACGACCGCCTTCCAGCTCAGTCCCCCTCTCACAGGCTGCAAGAACACCAGACTCAACATTTCCAGACACCCTGAGAGCCCTTCCTTTGTCCTGCCTCCCGGCCCGCTGGAATGCCCTTCCCCCCAGGGCCTCTGGAGGACCCCCACCCATACTCTCCTCTGCAAAGTACAGCAGTGTCAGGACTGAGGGCCCTGAAGCCCGACGCCCTGGGCTCAGACCCCGGCTCCGGCTCTCAGGACCCGACTGGCTCCTCTGTGCAGCCTCATTCCGTTTTCTCATCCCTGGAGCAGGCGAATAACCATCCCCCAGGGGTTGCTGGGAGACTGAGACCCTTTGTGGCTAGCACACGGGGAGTCTGCACCCGGCTCTTGAGTACATCAGCCCACGCTTGATTCCCTTGCCCAACACCAAGATGTCCCACCTTCCCTGAGCTCTCAGAGCATGCTGGGTGCCAGGGAGATGGTGGGGCACAGGCAGACCTTGTCCACCTGGAGTTTGGGGTCTAATGTGTGTGCCAGAAAGTAGATGTAAAATGACAAGCACCGTGGCCTTCCCTGGTGGCTCAGCTGGTAAAGAATCCACCTGCAATGCAGTAGACCTGGGTTGGATCCCTGGGTCGGGAAGATCCCCTGGAGAAGGGAAAGGCTACCCACTCCAGTATTCTGGCCTGGAGAATTCCATGGACTGTATAGTCCATGGGGTCACAAATAGTCGGACATGACTAAGCGACTTTCACTTTCACTTTCTACCTACTCAACACTCACCATCGTTCCCCATGTGTAGTAGGCCCTCCTATTAAAGTTTAGAGGAACAGGTGTTTACTAATGGAACCTCAACTGCAGACAACAAAGGTCCATCTACTCAAAGCTATGGTCTTTCCAGTAGTCAGGTATGGATGTGAGAATAGGACTATAAAGAAAGCTGAGTGCTAAAGAATTGATGTTTTTGAACTGTGGTGTTGGAGAAGACTTTTGAGAGTCCCTCGGACAGCAAGGAGACCCAACCAGTCCATCCGAAAGGAAATCAGTCCTGAATATTCATTGGAAGGACTCATGCTGAAGCTGAAACTCCAATACTTTGGCCATGTGATGTGAAGAACTGACTCATTTGAAAACACCATGATGGTGGGACAGATTGAAGGTGGGAGGAGAAGGGGACGACAGAGGATGAGATGGCTTGACGGCATCACCGACTTGATGCACATGAGTTTGAGTAAACTCCGGGAGTTGGTGACGGACAGGGAGGCCTGGCGTGCCGCAGGCCGTGCACGGGGTCGCAAAGAGTCGGACACGCCTGAGCAGCTGAACTGAACTGAACCTGCGGAAGGTACTTTCATTCATGGTCTCATTTTAACCTCTCAGAGAGCCTCCAAGGTGAGTGTACCAAATCCCACATCAGATGAGGAAGCTGAGGCTCAGAGAGCTTAAGTGATTTTTCCGAGGTCCCACAGCTCATCAGTGACAAACCTGGGACCCAGATCCAGGTCTGCCTGATACCAAAGCCCCAGTTCTTACTGGTCGGCAGTGAAGATACAGGGGAGGAAGCAGTGACCAGGAAACAGGCCGGAAGGAAGATGCTTTGGGAACCAGCCCTGCAAAGGTGGAGAGGCAGCACGTCTTCCTTCCCCTGGTTTCCAGCCTCACTTGCCAGAGGCAGCTGATGGTCGATCTCACTTCTAATGGCCTCGGGCAAATGGTCAATGGAAATGAATCCAATTTGTCCAGCAGGGGAATTGAAGAGTTGACTTGTATTAATGTTCTGAAGCTAACAAGTATTGATGCTCACTGGAGCCAAAGGTATGCCTTTCTCTGAATTGAGAATAGATCCTGTTAATAAGAACACGTCATCCAGGTGGCCTTGTTCTTTGATCACCTGATGCAAAGAGTTGACTCACTGGAAAAGACCCTGATGCTGGGAAAGATTGAGGGCAGGAGGAGAAGGGGGCGGCAGAGGATGGGATGGCTGGATGGCATCACAGGCCCAATGGACTAGGATTTGAGCAAACTCCAGGAAACAGCAGAGCACAGAGGAGCCTGGAGTGCGGCAGTCCACGGGGGCGCAAAGAGTCAGACACGACTGAGTGACTCAGGCACTGAGGTACTCGGTACTGAGGAGGAGTACTGAGTACATCCAGGTCCTGAGGAGCCTGGTGGATGGTCTGCTGCATGGGTTGGGGGATGGATGACCAGGAAAGGAGCAAGACGATGACGGCACAGAGGATGACAACCTCTCGGGGGGGGGGGGCAGCAACTGCAGAGAGCAGGGGTGGGTGCACGGCCCCCCTGCACTGGCAGAGACATCTCAGCCTGAAGGCCAGGATAGGATCAGGAGCCAGCACTGGACCGGCCGCCAGACTGCCATGCTCTCCGCCCTTTGCCGCTGCCCAGAGGTGACATGAACCTCCTGTTACAAATGGAGAGATGGACTAGCGAGGCTGCATCGTTACCCAACCCAGGTTCCCCAGCTGGGCAGAGGCAGGACCCGGACCCAGGTCTCAGGCCAGCAAAGCCCACGCCCTCCTAACCCCAGAGTCAGAGTCCAAGTCACCATTTGGCAAATGTTTGCTTCCCTCCGTGTCCACTGTGGACAGAACGCACTGCTCCACCCTGCTGATCTGAGCTTCCCCGGTGGCTGAAAGGGTAAAGAATCTGCCCGCAATGCGGGAGACCCAAGCTCCATACCCGGGCCAGGAAAAAGCCCCTAAGGGAATTCCCAGGCCACTCCAGTATCCTCCCGTGGACAGAGGGGCCTGGCGGGCTAGGGTCCAGGGGCCCCCCAGGGTAGCCCCGGCTGACAGATATGTCTCAAACCAGCATTCAGTCCCAGAGGCCTCACCCACCCGAGGCTGGGGCAGGGGCATCCAAGTTTTCCGCTGCCTGCACGTTGAAAGCACGTCACTAAACGGCATGCCACGCTCCCACAGGTGTCTGTGGTGGGCAGAACGGTGCCCCCTCCCCCACCGAGTTATGAGCTGAGACCTGTGAGTGGGACCTGACTTGGACAAAGTGTCTTTGCAGAAGTAATGACATCACACACAGGTAATTGGGACCAGGTGGCTCAGTGGTAAAGAATCTACCTGCCAGTGCAGGAGATGCAGGAGATGTGGGTTCAATCCCTGGGTCAAGAACACCCCCTGGAGGAGGAAATGGCAACCCACTCCAGCATTCTTGCCTGGAGAACCCCATGGAGAGAGGAGCCTGGTGGGCTACAGTCCATGCGGTCGCAAAGAGTCAGGCACGACTGAGCACGCACGTGCATGCACCTGAGATGAGGTCATCCTGGATTTGAGCGGGTAGCCCTAAAGTCACCGAAACTGTCCTTCGGGGAGGAAAGAAGACAAAAAGGAGAAGGTGAAAAACATGAGGCCTGGGTGCAATGTCGCATCTACAAGACGGGGGTACGGCCAGCACTGGAAGAGGTGAGGTTCCCCCAGAGCCTTCAGAGGGAACGCAGTCCTGCCAACACCCCAACTGCAGAGTCCTCCCACCCCCTCCTCTCCCACTGTAGAACCCACATCAGGATTTCCCAGGCGGTCTAGGGGTTAACGATCTGCCTGCCAACACAGAGGACACAGGTTTGATGCCTGTTCTGGGAAGATCCCACACGCCTCAGGGCAACTAAGCCTGTCTCCACAACTACTGAGCCTGCTCTAGAGCCTGTGTTCTGCAACAAGAGAAGCCGCCACAGTGAGAAGCCCATGCACCTCAATGAAGCCGCAACTAGAGAAAGCCTGCATGCAGTAACAAAGACCCAGCAAGGCCAAAATCAATAAATAAGTAAAAAAACAAAAAACAACAACAACGCACATCAGAAAACTAAGGCCAGTACTGTAGGACTATCTCACATCCACTCTAGCTTACATATGGAAGAAATAAACAATTTTCCAAGTAACCATGTTTTCTTTTTCAGACTATTTTAAGCTTTTAACTAAGATCTGAGAACACAGTCACAAGACTTCAGGTCCCCGATGTGGAACCTCCAGCCTGGGGGACGGACTCAGGGAGGGTTTTCACCTGTAACAAGCCAGCCTTACCTTTCTCCTGAGCCATCTCCTGCAGACAGAAGTAGATGACTCTGGCTCCCAGGCTGAAGCCGATCAGGGTGACAGGCCGCCGGCCCTGGGGGAGAAGGGACACGGGTGTGCACAGCGGTTCCAGAAAAGCAGCCCTGACGACGGCGGCCCTTGCACACTTGTCAGCAGCTGCCTTGCACTTCATGCATCGTGGCTGTGCCGTTCCTGACCCCGGCCTCGGATGTCTCCACTAGGAGAGGGGTTTACGCAGGAGGGCGCCTGCTTGCGAACCAGCTTCCTCCAAGGCTGACAGGCAGTGTTTCACTGGGTTCATTCCCCTTTATCTCAAACCATTACCCAGTCTCTCCTTCCCCATCTACCTGTGTGCAGCAAATGACCGCAGTGAAGAGGGGCCCTTCTGGAGCTGGGAGAGGGGGCGGGAGGTACCCCCAGATGCGATGGAGAAGGCGGCAAAGGGTGACGTGGCAGGGGAGAAAACTGTTCTGTTCCTGGATAGGAGAGCGGGGTATGAAACGTTGGCCTTAAACTGGGAGAGGAGACAGGAGACTGCTGTGTACAGAATGGAAGGCTAATGAGAACCTACTGTATAGCGCTGGGGAGGGGGGCGTCTGTTTGTAGGACATACATTAAGTTAACCTTAACGATGCATTGAGAGTCCATGGACTGCAAGGAGATCCACCCAGTCCATCCTGAAAGAGATCAGTCCTGGGTGTTCACGGGAAGGACTGATGCTGAAGCTGAGACTCCCATACTTTGGCCACCTGATGCGAAGAGCTGAGGCCTGGCGTGCTGTGGTTCATGGGGTCAAAAAGAGTCGGACACGACTGAGCGACTGAACTGAACTGAACAATGCATTCCAACATATGGTAGGTGCAGACAAGTGCTGTTTGAGTCTGCTTATACAAGGTGCCTGGAAGAGTCAGATTCATGGAGTCAGAAGGGACACGGGGAGATCCAGGGGCCGGGGTCGGGGGCGGAGGGGAGGGGGATGGGGACTTAGTGTTTCGTGGGGTCAGAGTTTCAGTCTAGGAAGGTGAAAAAGTCAGGAGCTGGATGATGGTGAGAGTTACACAACAGCGTGAAAGTGCTGAGTGCCTCTGAACTGTTGAGTTACATGTGGTTAAAGTGGTATGTTTCATATTGTGTGATTTTTACCACAATAATAATAATAAAAAAACATAAAAAGGGATTCCCCTGGTAAGGCTTCCCTGGTTGCTCAGATGGTAAAGAGTCTGCCTGCAGTGCGGGAGACCCGCGTTTGAACCCTGGGTAGGGAAGATCCCCTGGAGGAAGGGAATGGCAACCCACTCCAGTACTCTTGCCTGGGAAATTCCATGGACAGAGGAGCCTGGTGGGTTACAGTCCATGGGGTCCCCTGGTGGTCCAGTGGTTAAGCATCCTTTCCAATGCAGTGAGCATAGCTTTGATCCCTGGTTGGAGAACTAAGATCCCACATGTCTCAGAGCAACGAAGCCTGCGCACCACAACTAGAGTCTGCGTGCCACGATGAAGGATCCCACAGGATGCAATGAAGACCCGAGGCAGCCAAATAACAAAAAAACACGTAAAGAAAAAAACAGGGGGCTCCAAGTCAGATGCACAGAGGAATTTTCTGACTAAAGAACTTGTAGAAAGGGAGACCTGGATAAGAAGGTCAGGAGAGGGGTCTGACTACAGGTTCTACATACATGGAAGCAGACAGCAGGAGAAGGTGAGTTTCATTGGACCAGCCGGCCTCAGCACTCTACGCCTTTCCCTTGTTTTGGGTCAAATACGTGCATCCAATCCTTGCTGCCCCACCTCCATTTACTTCCACCGAAGTCCCTCCACTGAATCATATTCCAGTTTCACAGGAACTCTGCGGTCAAGGCTGCCAGTCACTGCCCAAGAGCCACTCTCCCTTCACCCTTGGTAGCAAAACTCCTGAGGTTTTCTCGCCCCCTCCCCCCCATAGCTACCCAGCCCAAAACTAAATTTCTCCAACTTCCCTGTAGCCAGGGATGGCCTCAGGACTGAGTCCCGGCCAAGGGATGCGACGGGCTTAGCTTCCCCGAGGCACGCGGGATCTTCCTGGCCTTTCACTTGTACCTTCCTGCCTCTGACTGTCTGGAATGTGGATGGAATCCTGATGGTTTTACATGGTCTCTGGACCACTAGAGACATGCTCAGGGGGTAGCTCTGTAGACATCTGTGAAGGAAGAGCTGACCCTGACCTCACCTGCCGAGGCCTCTGACACTCAGTCCTCACCTGATTACTTTTTAGAGAGGCACAGTCTGTAATTCTTACTGGCCCGTCCTAGGATACACTTTTGCAGGGGGCACACACACCATACATGATTTGGGACCTTCGCTGCCCAACCAGGGATGGAACCTGGGCCCCCTGCAGTGGAAGCGCAGTCTTAAGCCAGGGAAGTCCTCCTAGGACACTTTTGTGACTTGAGCTGGAGGAGCAGTGCAGACCCTTTAAAGCCACCGATCTATCCCCACGTGGGCTCATCTTAGGGATGACATCTGCCCACCAGTCAGCTCCCCTACTCCAGCCAGTCCCGGGTACCTGCTGTCGGGAGAGCAGAATGTGGGCCAGGTGCTTGCCGACCTCCGCCGATCGATGGAGGCACACGCCCCAGGGGTTGTCAATGATGTTGGCGACACTGAGGAGTGAGGCGGGCCAGGTCAGGGCAGCCACGATGCCTGGGGAGCAGGGGTACTGGTGATTAAGGCAGTCGGGGTGAGGATGGGGGCTCCTTCTAGGGAAGTGACTGGCTGGCTATTGGATGCCCGAGTGAATGCCTGCAGTCTCTAACTTGGGATATGTAAGTTTGCCAAGTGATGTCAAACTGCTCAATAGCACAGAAAAAAACGGAAGCTCACGCATTTCTGACACGTGGACTAGATCTCTTAGGTTCAAACATTTGCCACGGGTGAGATTCCAGAGATGGCCCCAGTCTGTCACGCCACCCTGAATCCCTCCCACTTTGCCCATAACCCCGCCCCCGTCCCCGCCCTGTGCCGGTCCACACCAGGTTCCATCACGTGACTTGCTTTGGCCAATGAGACACTGCTGGACGAGAGGCCTGAAATGGACTTGTGCCTTTGGCGCACTTCTCCTGGGGGTGTGGGCTAGCCTGCGACCCCAGGAGGGGAGGAGAGACGAATGGGGCAGAGCCCGGTCACCCTGGTCGCCCCAGACAAAGCCACATCGGTGGGTGGCCAGCTGACACACAGATGCATGAGCAGGCCCAGCAAAGATCAGCCAAAGGAAGCCGCAGCACTCCTGCGGCCGCTGTGATGAAAGACCGCTATTTTAGGTCACTGGGTTATGGTGGCTTGTTACACAGCCGCTACTAACTGATACACTAGGTGATAATGTGATTGGCTGTTTATCTATTTCCTCCCTATGAAGACCATAATAACCATGTCACAGACAGGGTCACTGAGGGACTGGCACAGTGCCTGACTCCCTGGGGGCCTCAAGCAGGCAAAGGCACAGGACCAGCGTGGCTTTGGGAGTGGTGGGCATGCCGCTGGCGGGGGAGAGGGGAGGCTCACCAGACAGCACCGTGTACTTCAGGGCCTCCTGGGCCACCATGTTGGCAAGGCCGCTGAGGATGGTCTCCAGGGCGTTGCCGAGCTCCATCAGGTACTTGGCCTCCCAGGCCAGGCAGTACTGCTCACGGCTGCGGGCCAGGGCAGCCCAGGGGGCGCTGAAGGTGCCTGGGGAGAGTGCGGGCAGGTGGGGTCTCTCCTGTCTGGGCTGGAGGGGGCCCCCACTTTCCCTGACAGGCAGGGACAGAGGCCCACCCACCCTTGTGGGGGAGACAGGAGGACCACCCCTGCCCACGGGCAGCAGCTGACAGAAGAGCAGGCGTGCTCCCGGATGGAGCACGGGGCTGCCCTGTGAGTGGGCGGGCTGGGGTGAGACCCAGTTCCTGCGGCCCTCCGCAAGGTCGTTGGTGACCTTGAGTACCGGGGGCCCCTGTCCCCGGCTGAGCCTCACTCTGTGGAGCAGTCCAGTGGGGAGATCACTACTTATCTCCTTTCACTGGGCAGCTGTCAGAATTAACTATTCCAATGATGATGCATGTAAGGGGCTCTTGCCTCACTCTCTGCAGTAACTCTGGCATCAAGCAGCTGAGGGCCTACAAGAGTAACACACGGGCCACACGGGTTGGCTCCCTGAACCAGCTGCATCGCGTTCATGCCACCTGGGGAACGCTCTGCAAGCTGGGGGCAGAGGGCTTTGAGGCCAGCTCTGCCACGAGCTCCCTGGCTCCCCCGGCTTTTCTGAGCCTGAATTTTCTCACCGAGGGACTGGAAACGGGAGGGTGATGAGAGCACCACGTGCCCAGCGCCAAGCAGGAGAAGATAACCACGCTGGTATCCCTACTCTCTCCTGGTTCTCCCTTGGCCTTGAGGGTGGCGGCCCCTCCAGCAGGACACCCAGGCCCCCCGTGACCTGGCCCTTGCCTTCCTCACAGCCTCACTGTTCGTCATGTTACCCTTTGGAAACACATGCTTTTGATGCCATTCCTTTGTTCACTCTTTCATTCCTACACAGACATTAACCGGGGACCTAGACTACGCCAGGCCTGAAGCCTGACCGTGAGGATACAGACCCTGATCACTGCAGGAAACGTGCAGTGAGCAGGTACCAAGTGCTGGGAAGCTCTGCACTGAGGGTTTTCTCATGGAACTCTCTGATTTAATCCTCGACGTAGCTTGGGAAATGGAGCCCCACAACTACAGGGGATAATTTTATGTTATTTTACAACGCAGGAGGCTGAGCCACCCAGATAAGCCCTCAGCCCAGGGAGGGAGAGGACTGTGCAAACCTCACGGAGTCACTGGTTTGTGGGCTGTGGGAGCACGGAAGAGCCCTGTGTGTCTCTGCCTGTGGCCCAAGTGACCTTCCATCCTTATTTTTCTATGAGCTTCCAGTTCACTTGCCTTATCTCCAGGGAATCCCCTCTGGCCCTCTGATGGGTCTCACATACCCTGCGCTTTCTTGCCTTGAGTTCTCATCATGGCCTACGATTATCCATTTATTTTTGCCTCATCTGGTGTCTGTCTCTCCCGCAGCCCGTCTGCCAAGTGCTCAATTAGCAAAGTTTCATGAAAGGATGAATGAAAGAAGGGAGGAGGCAGCTTCCCACTGCCTCCGGGTTCCAGCTCAGCCAGGCGCCTCGACCTGCCCGACCCAAAGCCCTCGTCCCTACCTGGGGGGGGCTCTGCTGACAAAGACCCTGCGGGGCTGCTCCCCCTCTCTGCAGGGACCCAGGCAGAGCTCTGCCGCAGCTCAGGGATTAACTGTCTCTAGTTACGGAGGAGAAGGAGGCCTGGGAGAGGACGTGGGCAGATGGTGTGTGTGCTCATGTATGTGTCTGCACGTGTATATACATGTATGCACGTGTATATGTATCACATAACGGTGTGCACACGTGTAAACATGTATGTGCACGCACATGTGTGCACACGTGTATAAATATGTGCACATGCACGTGTACATGTATGTCTCCGAGCATGTACATACATGTATGCACGCACACATGTGTGTACATGCATTACACAATGGTGTGCACATGTAGGTGTGTAAGTGTGTACATGTGTGCAGACATGTATTTGTGCACACGTTTACACGTGCACGCACATGTGCAAACATGTATGTGCATGCACACATGTGTACATGTGCATAAATATATGTGCATGTATGTGTCTGCACATGTTTATATGTATGCATGCACGCATGTGTGTACATGCATTACGTAACGGTGTGTACATGTAGGTGTGTAAGTGTGCACACACGTGCAGCACGTATTTGTGCACACACATGGGCAAGCATGTGTATGTGTGTATGCACATATGTGCACAAGTGTGTGAATATGTGCACGTGTATGTGTGTGTGTGCATGTGTGTGCGTGGTGGGCTGTGACGCTGGCCCTGGCTTTGGGCCCAGCTGGGCAGCTTGCTGGTCCCAAGGCTTGCAGCAGGGCACACTGCCCTTCTGAGCCTCGGGTTCTGCAGGTGTCAGAATGGAAAGCGGGCATCTGACAAACGGGGGTCATGGGGATCACATGATAGGCTGTGTGAAAGCATTATGTAAACCATAAAGCACTCTCCTGAATTCTATCACCCCATGGCCAAGAACATGGGTCACAGAGCCAGACAGAAAGCGGGTGAGCCATGCCTTAGTCCCTGACTAGCAAGGCAACTCTGGGCAGCCCTTATCAGCCTCGGTTTCTTCATCTGTAAAATGGGGGTAATAATGATGCCCATCTTTGTGGCTCGATGTGAAGGCTTAAGTGAGCCAATGTGTGCAGAAAGCCTGGCTCAGCGTGAGCTACTAGGCCATTACCATGATTACACACAATCCTGTTTAATAAAGGGGCAGACCCAGGAAACCCCGTTTGTTCCCATAACAGGCGAAGCAAGCCTGTGAGGATATGAGACTTCCTTCCTGGCGTCAAGGAGGCAGGTGATATTTCCCTCCAGAACTTCGTCTAGTTCGGCTGCATTTCTTATAACCGCCCCCCTGCCGGGGTTGCATACTGCATGAGGCTGCTGCAGGAGAGCACTGAAGACAATCTCCTCCTCCCCACCCGCCCCAGATGAGCATGACTTTGACCTGGAGCCAACTCAGCCAGGGGGTAAAACAACCATAAAAGATTTGCTTTCCATACTGGTGAGAGCTGCAAATTCCTTCCCTTAGACTCTTTCTCCTTCCTTCCTATCGTGGTCTTTCTGTAGCACAGACAGGACCATGAAACAAACAAAGAGGAGCCCGTGAACCCTGGGTCGGGAGGCCCGGGGTGGAATCCTGGGTGCCACCTGCCTGCCATGTGACCCCTCTAGGTTTCCTCTTCATCCAGATCAGGGAAAGAAAAGCTCTGCTTCAAAGGGTCATGCAAGGTAATGTACATCAGGCTCCTAGCGTGTGGGTGAAATGCCTGACTCGGCGCTAGGTGCTGCCAATGCCAGAGACTGCCGTACAAGGACTGGCCGGGGTGAGCCTCACCAGTAAGACTCTGGGGCCCAGGAAAGCCTCTCAACAGAGGCTGGGCATTTTCTCGCCTGCTTCCTGCTATGTCATTCAGAAGAACTGTGGCTTCCCCCCGGGAACCCACCAGGCTCTGAGTGTATCTGGTTGGGATGCTCCCACCTCCCAGGCCCCACCCTGCTCGCTCCCTGGATGACGACCTGTTTGTCGAGCCTCACATGAGCACCTGCAACAGTGAGCCAGCAGGAAGCAGACCGTGGACTTTTACTCCTCAGGGCCACCCTGGCTGGAAGTCCCCCAAATCACACGTGTTCAAATTATAGCAGGAAGGGGAACTAAGTAATGTCTGTGGAATGTCACCAAAAACCTCCTACAGGTTACCTTGTTCGATCTTTGCGAGTGCCCTCAAAGGCAAGGATAATCTGCTTTGCCTCGCAAATGAAACAGGCAAGGCACAGACAGGTTAAGTAAATGGCCTGAGGTCACACAGCCAAGATATACTGATTTCTCACTTAAGTGCTAAAAGTCCTCTGCTAACCTCCATTTGTTCTGAGAAGTTCAGACTCCTGGCCACAGCTCACAGGCTCCTGCGTGATTTGGCCCCACCCAAACTCCTGTCTTCCAGCCCCCTGCTCCAGCCATCCTGTGCTTCTTTTACACCACCAGGCCTTTCGACATGCTGCCCTTTTACTTGGTATTCACTGCTTTCTTTCTTTACCTGGCGAATGCCCAGCTAGTCCCGAGCCTAAAAAGTTACCTCTAGTGACTTCCCTCACTCCCTAGAAACACTCTGTGCTCCACTATTGTGCCATTTATGCACAATGATTCTCTGCTCAGTCGTCTGTCTCCTGCCTCGGACCACATGTTCCATGGGGCAGAGGCCATGACTGCTGCTCACCACTGAACTCCTAGGGCCTGGCTCAGCGTCTGGCAGAGCGTGCTCTGTGAAGCCTGCTGAAAGGACGGACTGATGGGTGGATGTGTGCGTGGATGGATGGATAGATGGATGATGGATGGATAGATGGATTGATGGATGGATGGAGAGATGGATGATGGATGTGGATGGGTGGGTAGATGGATGGATGGATGGATATATGGATGATGGATGGATAGATAGACGAATGGATGGATGGATGACGGATGGGTAAATGGATGGATGGATAGATGGATGTGGATGGGTGGGTAGACAAACAGATGATGGATGGATGGGAAGACTATGGGATGAAGTTATCTCACCACTCTGAGCCTCAGTCTCCTCCTCTGAAAAATGGGGCTCTCTTACCCACCCCCTAGAGACACACACTGGCCCACAGCAGCAGACCCAGTTCAGCCAACACCCGCCCACTCCGCATCCTTCTCTGCCCCCGGTCCTCACGGTATTTTCCGGATGCCAGCCATCCCGTGATGGCGATGGTGATGTGCAGCTGCCTTCCTTCCGTCAGGGGCAGAAACGCGAACTCTTCAATGGCCCCAACACGCTTCTTCATCTTGTATCCTAAAGACCCAGGTACAAAAATGAGGATGGGGTGACTGGGGACCCTGGGGAATGCCGGTCAGCGTGGCTCCGTGTGCTCACACACTCACACCCTGCTCCTCAACAGCCATCTCATTTTTGAACTCATTAACGGTGCCATGATTGTCCCTAATTACAGATGAGAGTAAGAGGCTTCCAAAGGCTGGTGAGCCCCCGAGTGGCAGAGCTGAGGTTGAAACTCAGAGCCCAAGTTTATAAACAACTGCTCTGTCCCGATTTGGTGGGTACTATGTCTTTTTCCTGCCCATGGACTTCAGGAGTGGAGTGCACCCATCTTAGTAATAGTGGTGTGAGCTGACCAAGATTTTTTATTTTAAGATTTTTTAAAATGTGGACCATCTTTAAAGTCTTTATTGAACTTGTTACCATACTGCTTCTGTTTTATTATGGTGTTTTTGGCCACAAGGCACATGGGATCTTTGCTCCTGGACCGGGCATCAAACCCTTACCCCCTGCGTTGGAAGGCAAAGTTCTTAAGCACTGGACCACCAGGGAAGTTCCCATAACCAAGATTCTTAATGTGGGAAGCTACAGGCCACCTGGGGAGAGGAACAGGAAACCGTGTGATGAGAGGCCTACTGACACACGGGACTTGGAGAGACGCCCTCGCTGCCCCCGCCCAGGTGATGCTGGTGGACGAAAAGTAGCCATGTGTCTCTCACATGGGGAAGCTCCAGCATCTCTGAGGCAGCCCGCCTGGAAACTTCCTGGATGGCAGCAAGAGGTCCAGGACGACCCTCCGTAGAGAGTCTATGCTGGGGGCAGTTCCACAACCTCGGCCTTTCCCCTGACCTGTGCGGAAGCCTGGCGCAGGTTCTGGAGCTCAGAGAAGAGGAAAGCCACATCCTCCTCCTCCGCCTCCCAGGGAGTCCCCCTGGTGAGAATCTGGGCGTGTACCTTACGGGGCCGGGCCACCCGGGGCGCAGACCCCTCACAGCCGCCGTTCCTCTGGAGCCTTACCTGTCAGGCCGGCTCCAGCTGCGCCGAACAGCGAGGTCATGATGGCGATGCCGGCTGCTGAGCCCAGAGCCGCGGCCCCGGCGCTGCCGATGACGGTGGCGGCCCCGGCTGCGACGAGAGGAGCGGCCAGGCCCCCAGTGACGCCTGCAAGGACAGCCGCCCGCACGGGGGACGTGGGGGCGTGAACGCACGGCCTCCCGACATACACGTGAACACGCTGCCTCTGCATGCGGCGGGGAGGCAGCCCCCCAGCTGATCCCCCTGCAGCAGCCATCAAGCGAAGGGATGTGGGGGAAAGCCTAGCAGTGCCGCCGAAGCACAGGGTGGCTCGAGCAGGCGGCTGGGAGGCAGCGGTGTGCGGGGGACCCAGACCACACAGGAGTGCGTGAGCTGCTGCAAGCAATCTGAATTTCTCCCCAGAGCAAGTGGGAGAGAACAAAGGACTTTTAACACGCAAGTGAGCAAGCAGTCCATCGTGACTGTGCGCCCTCGAGCCCGTTCCCACCCTCGCCCGGCCCGGCCACGTGTCACCAGCCCATCTTACCAATCACCGTCCCGCCTCCCACGGTCGCCAGGCCTATCAGCAGGTAGCGCTTCCACTTCCTCCTGTTCTCCTTCTTCTTCCGGGATGCCTCCGCCGTGCTGCGGGAGAAGAGGTTGCTCTCTAGGGCCGATCGTGCCTGGGCAACCTTGATGCCGCCCCTCCTCCCCAACCCCCCAAACTAACATCCGTGCTTCGGGCTCTATCATGCAGAGAGAGGTACCAAGGTTACCCCAGGCCCATCCATCACCGACGGTCTTAAAAAGCTGAAAAGGTTCTAAAAACCCAGTGTGTGGGATATGCTACTTACCGAGTCGATCCGTCCTAACAGGGTTGCAATTTGAATAATGAAAAGACAAAGAAGTAATAACAATAATGGCAAAAGAAGCACAAAGGTATCTTTACACAGATGGACTCCGAGTACCAGACAGTTACAGACTCCATCACCTCACTCTTCCCTTCCCCACCCCGCACTCTGCCATCTGCGCCTATCTCCCTCTGTGATGTTTGGAAAGCAATTTCCCTTGAGAATAACCCTTTCAGACATGGGAAATGTCTGTGCTGAAGACCTTGGCTTTGGGGCAACAGCTAGAACCATCTGGACTTGAAATTTGAATGTGACAAAACGTAGCAAAAGGGAAGCAGTGATGGAAACCGGGGTCAGGTGACTCCTGAGAATCCTTCCCATCTCGAAGGCCAACTTTCCTGCCTGACTTTGGGCCTGCGGTGCTTTGGGGCAACAGGGAGCAGGACAGGAGACAAGGGGGGCGGTGTGCAGAGATTACCAGGGTGAACTCTGAACTGAACCTGGAGTTTGGACAACAACTCAGTGCTAGAGCGATGGCAGATGACGGTGATAATGAAAGAAGGGTTAATATTTATTGAGGACTTTTAACATGACTGCCACTGTGCTTTGCACTTCGAATGGCTTATCTTATCCCAGAAGCAGTTTTCCTTTTTATTGTCCGCGTATCACAGACGAGTTTGGGGATAAGTGTCCCCGGCTCCTGAGCGGCAGTGGGGATCAGCTCAGGGAATGTCTGGCAAACAGCCTGACAGCTGGCCCTGAACATGGGGACCCAAACGGAGGCTGCTCCCACGAAGCTCCATCTCCCGAAATTCAGTCCACCCTTTTGTAAAAAGGGGGATAAGAACATCTCCCTCCTGAGGCTGTTGGTTTGTAAAGATTTTTAAATTCACTGAGGAATTTAAGTCTCCTGCTAAGTCTCCTCCTGCTCTGTCCTGAGACCAGCAACACTGTTGACCAAGATCACTCTGTCATCCTGGGACCCAGAACCAAGACAGTGTGGACTACATTTAATTTAATTCATGCCTTTGATCAACAGACTTTTACGGAGTGTGGACAGCGGGCGGGTACTTTTGTGTGTCGGCAAACAGGCTCAGGTGGTCCTCAATCAGAACTGTTTCCTTCCCACCTCATGCCTCCTGAACCACGTGTAATAGCAACACAGTTCATCCTCCAGTTAGCGAGGAGAAGTGGGATTTGAGATGGGCATTCAGAGACCTGCTGTGCATTTTGGTTATCGGCCTGCTCACCTCAACCAACTGTCCCCTAAGCTCCTCCTGGGGGTACAGCCAGCTCTTCTTGGTGGCTTCACTACTGAGAGGAAACCAGTTCTCCATGACTGAATCGCACGCCCTCAGATATGCGGGAAGAGGCTGAACCACACGCATCGATCATCACATGATGGTGATGAAGGGCCTGGGTTCTGCAGTCAGGTTTCAAACCCTGCAAACTAGGCTTGGAGCCTCCCTCTGCTGTGGTGGGCCATCACCGCTCTCCAGATGTTGGGTTAAACCCTGCGCTGGTCCCCCCTAAGGAAAAAGGATCCTTCTCTGCCCTGCTGAGCTGAGTGGCCTCATGACCCGCTTCGGCCAGTAGGGGGAAGGGATCTGTGCCACTTCCTGCTAAGGTCCCTTCTGCTCTGCCCCGAGACCAGCAACACTGTTGACCAAGATCACTCTGTCATCCTGGGACCAGGACAATGTGGACTAAAGCCACAGCTGACCTGAAAGAAATGCACCTTTTTCTTGCTGTAAGCCATTGACACACAGAGGTCATCTGCTACCACAGCAAAACCTAGCCTATCCTGATGGACAGAGCCACTTACTAACCTCGGGATTAGGTACAAATAACTCATCCTGTCTGAGTTTCCTCATTCATGAAGAGGGGCTAATAATAGCCCTGAATTCCCAGGGGTCCTGGGGGGTGCTAAAGGAGAGAGTCCACACATGGTGACTGGCAAGCTGTAGTGATTCAGTCTGTGTACTGCTCTCATCATTCTTTGCACGGTTGCGATACTTTTCTCAACACAGGCTGGAGATATACTTTGGCCCTGAACTGCTGGCACCATCTGGGGCAAATGGGAAGGCTGGAAATGAGTTGCTTTCAGCAGAGTTCAAGGCCTGAGGGGGAATTCCAGCTGCTGGGAGAACATACAAGAGGAACACGCAGGGGCCACGAGCAGCTGGCTCTGCAGACCGGCCAGCAGTATCTGATTCAACAGTCGCTGCCTGGGAAACACTCTGCAAACTGGGGGCAGGAAGGTTTCAGCCCAGCTCTGCCAGGAGCTCACCAGCTCACCTGGTTTTTCTGAGCTTCAGTTTTCTCACTTCGGGACTGGAAAAGATGATAGCCGCAGAAGGTGACCAGCGTCAGCAGGAGGATAATATAACCGTGACTGTCTGCCCCAGTTTCTCCCTCCCTCCTAGCTCCTCCTCTGCCTTGAGGATGGGGTCACCTCTCCAGCGGGACACTCAGGCCCCCTGGGACCTGCCCTTGCCTTCCTCACAGCCTCATGGGTCATCAATTCACTTTACCCTCCAGAAACACTAAACTGCCTGCAGGCACACCTCCCAAGCCTCAGCCCTGCGTTCCTGCTGCCCCTTGGCTGCCAAGGACCTTCTCACCTTTCTTTGTCTGGATAAACACATTACTCACCTTCCCAGAGTCGTCTCCTCCAGGAAGCCCGCCCTGAGCCTCAAGGTTGCCTAACTGCTCCTACTCCAAACTTTCCTAACCCTCTGTACTGTACTAGTCTGGAATTCTAGACCATTGATTTTCAAAGGGTAGGCTGTGGATCAACCACATCAGGATCCCCAGTGGGGAGCTGTTAAAAGCACTACTTCCTGGGTGAGGAAACTACTTGTGACAAGCTCTCTGGTTATCTCAAGTTTGAGAATCGCAGGGGTGAACCTTCAGGACACAGGTCAAACCTTTCCTGCACTCCACCCTCAGTGGCTGGCCCTGGGACTGGCACCCGGATGGGGCTCAGAAGATGCTCCTCGGAAAGAAAGATTTGGAGGTGAACATCTCACTGCAGTGATCTACTGCCTCGCTCATCGTCCATGTCTATGAAAACCAGAGGGCACATACATTCTGGCTAAATAAAATATTTAGCCAGAGTTCAGGCCACTCACCATCAAGAATGAAACTTCCAGGATATTAGAACAAATCCCAGGGAGGTCCCTGCCTGACTGAATTTAAACAAGAGGAGATACTGGCTGTGAGTCACATCTCCGATGCTCCCATACTGGGAAGTGAGAATTCAGAGCACGACATTAAATCCAAACGAAGCCTTGTTCCTATTCCTGACTTTGCCTGCTGGTGAGGCGCCATGGCTGCCTGTGCCATCACAGAGCCACTGGCCACACTCACGACCTGGGATGCCAGTAGTGACCTTGAGCTGGAGTTCAGGCCAGCCTCCCAAAGACAGAAGCGAAAGTCGCTCAGTCGTGTCTGACTCTTTGCAACCCCATGGACTATACAGTCCATGGAATTCTCCAGGCCAGAATACTGGAGTGGGTAGCCTTTCCCTTCTCCAGGGGATCTTCCCAACCCAGGGATCGAACCCAGGTCTCCTGCATTGCCGGTGGATCTTTACCAACTGAGCTGTCAGAGGCTGAAGCCAAAAATGCAGATTAGGGCTAAATCCCAGGTTGAAGTCACAGCTACCTTGTGAGGAGCAGACAACCACACTGCTCATCTCACGGCCCCACAGAGAAATTTCCCTCACGGCCACCTCATCTCCCTTGAGAGGGGGTTCCTCCCGCTTTTCTGTCCTCATCGTCACCCTTCTTGTTTTTTCCAGAATTATTTCTTTATGACTGCGCTGGGTCTTCATTGCTGTGAGCGGGCTTCCTCTAGTTTTGGAGAGTGGGGGGCTACTCTCCAGATGTGGAGCACAGCTTCTCACTGCAGCTGCTCCCCTTGCTGCGGACCCCAGGTGTGAGGTTCTAGGGGCACTGGCTTCAGTAGCTGCGCAGTACTTGCGGCTCTCGGGCCCTGGAGGGGGCTGAGTGAGGCACACGGGCGTCGCTGCTCCGCAGCACCTGGGATCTTCCCACACCGAGGACAGAGCCCGTGACCCGTATGTTGGCAGGTGGATTCTTATCCACTGTGCCACCAGGGGAGTCCACCCTTTCCTTTTTTCTTTTTAATCACTTTCTCCAGTCGACAGAGAGGGGGAGTTTATCTGTGGGGGTCTAGAGACACATTCCGAGTAAAAGCTCAGAAAGCCCATAGAAGAATGGTCTCTGCTGGCTTCTTCAGAACTTAGGAGGAAGCGGGGTTCCCAGCCACGCCCGGAGCGGATGCAGTGAGTGACGTTCAGACTGGATAAGGAAGCTGGGTCGGACGGTGTCTCCGATCACCTGGGCACCCTGGGCGAGTGATGTCACCCTCTGACCTTCCGTTCCTTCCTCTGCCAAAGCCTCAGGGGACTGCAGCGAAAATCCAACGAGCTGGTATCATGTACCGGCATCGAGAGAGCACTCAGTAAAGGTTAGATGTGGACCACATTATTGTGATGGGCTCGGCATCAACCTTCAGCCTGGCATTCACTGTTTACTACGTGCCAGGGACTGTTTCAAGCTTTTGATAAGAATGAATTAATTTAACCCTCTGGACAGCCCTATGACAGAGATACGATCACTATCCCAGTGCTAGAGACTAAGACACTCAGGCACAGAGAAGTGAAGTCGCCCAACCAGCAGGGGAGGTTTGGATGGCCGCAGGGCTCAGACAGGCCCCGAGGACAGAGAGGCAGGGACATCACACCCTGAACCCCAGCTGCAAAGGACTGCCCCTGGGTGCCAAGAAGCTCACCTTGCAGAAACACAAAACCTCAGGGGTAAAAGACACCTACACGCAATTCGATCCTCTTCTTGCACAGGTGAAAACACGGGTGCTGATGCCAGAGAGGGAAAGCAATGGGGCCAGGGCCACAAAGACTCAGCAGCAGAGTCAAACAGAGAACCAGGCTGCTTGGCTGACCAGTCCCTGGGCTTTCCCTGGGTCCCAGATTCTTTCAGAGACCACAGATGGAAACTAGAGGTCACCGAAGTCCCTAAAATTTAGTTTCAAAAATGACACCTGTGCAGTATTTTCCCAAGAAGGTGGCCCCACACTGAAATAACAGCAGTGTTGTTGCTCAGTCTCCAAGTTGTGTCTGACTCTTTGAAACTCCACAGACTGCAGCATGCCAGGCCTCCCTGTCCTTCACTATCTCCCAGAGCTTGCTCAAACTCATGTCTACTGAGTCGGTGATGCCATCCAACCATCTCATCCTCTGTCGTCCCCTTCTCCTCCTGCCCTCAATCGTTCCCAGCATCAGGGTCTTTTCCAGTGAGTCGGCTCTTCGTATCAGGTAGCCAGAGGATTGGAGCTTCAGCTTCAGCATCTGTCCTTCCAATGAATGTTCAGAGTTGATTTCCTTAAGGATGGACTGGTTTGATCTCCTTGCTGTCCAGGGGACTCTCAAGAGTCTTCTTCAGCACAATTCGAAAGCATCAATTCTTTTGGTATGATAGCAAATGTTGATATTTATCAACTAGTAACTTTGTGCAGAGCTTCCCAGGCCAATGCAGGCGATGTAGGAGACATGGGTTCGGTCCCTGGGTCATGAAGATCCCCTGGAGGAAGAGGGCATGGCAACCCCCTCTAGTATTCTTGCCAGGAGAATCCCTATGGACAGAGGAGCCTGGCAGGCTATAGTCCATGGGGTCACAAGGAGTCAGACATGACTTGGCACCTGAACACACACACACACAACTCTGCAAGGCCTGCTCGAAGCACTGTACATATGGAAACTTCACTGAAGCCCCACATGAACCCTTTGAAGAGGGTGCTATTATCCCATTTGCATGTGAGGAAACTGAGGCTCAGAGAAACTGAATAACTTGCTCAGGATCACATGGCTGGTAAGTGGCAGAGGAGGGCTGTTTCACAGCTCCTGATCTGGCATGACTGGTATTCTCGGAACAGAACCTCTGGGTAATACGTTTTTTCTGACAACAGATTTCCAAACAATCCTCAAGAGTTTCTTTCATTTCAAGACATACTTGAAATGGTACAAATATCCAACATATCCAAAGGTGCTGGGCAGCCCTTGTGACTATGGTCACTGGCCTGGGTCCAGGTCTTTCTTTACTGACACAGCTCTGGGAGTCAAAACAAGGCTATTTTGGGGTTATTTCGACAGATTAACTTTCCTTCTTTCTCAAGGAAACAATCCCCTCCCTTTGGCCTACAAACCCGGGGCGGGGGCAGGGCGGATCCAGTTCTGAGCTTGGCTTCAAAGCTAAATTCTCAGCTGGGTTGAACTGGCACAGTCTGGCTGCTCAAAGAAAGCCTTCGTGGCTGAACAAAACTCCAGGCTGGGAGATGTGCCCGGCTGCAAGGAGCTCGCAGTTAGGCTGTGACTGGGACTGATCTATTACTCCGGGATCGGATCCTGTGTAGGGTGTTTGACAAAGAGCTGAGCTCTGGCCAAGCTTGCCAGGAGAATTTCCCTCGACACACACCTGACCACACAGAGCGCAAAGCCCATCAGCCTTGGCAGGCATGCGGGCGTGTGGGGAAGGCAAGGACTCCTGGGCTTGGAACGCTTGCCGTGTGCCAGCCCTGGGCCGAGCACTTGGTAATACAACTGTGTGTGTTTTCCAGAACGACCCTAGGAGGGTGTTATTCTCATTCCTATTCTACAGATAAGAATTTTACGGCTTAGAGAAAGGGGGGCCACCTGTCCAAGGTCAAAAGATAAACAGGTGTCAGAAGCCCGGCCACTCTGACCCATGGACAGGGTGTCATAAGAGCTGACGCGCGGTGGGCTGTCAGGGCCACAGGCTGTTAAAGGCACAGACTCAGGGCTCTGAGCTATCATCCGCTCGATCCCCGTCTCCTAAAACGAGGGTGGAGGCCAGAGAGGGCAAGTGACGTGCTAAGGCCACCAGCAAGTCTGGGCTGCACCGGGATTCTCCATTCAGGGTCTCTCAATGGGTGGAGGTCCACTGGAGTGGAAATCCGAGATTCCAGACAGGCGGGCGGAGGGGCAGACTGGACTCTGCTATCTGAGAAGTGGAAGGCCTCTATTCCCGACAGGCGGGGCCAGGGCCCCCGGGCTCCCTTACTCAGAGTCCTCCTCTTTGGTTTCCTTCAGGCTCTCGAGGAAGGTCTCTTCCAGGAGGTCCAGCTCCTCCAAGGGCGCTCGGAGGAGGGAGGCCATGTGGCAGATGAGGACGCGGGCCCGAGCATCGTAGCGTCCTCGAGAGAGAGAGAGAGAAAGAGTAGGGGGTCAGTTCAGCTCCCAAGCACAGAGATGTTCACTGCAGTATGATGGATGAGACCCAAACCCGAGACACGTCCCAGACGCAGGGCCCCCCCGACAGCCGGCCCATTTAACAGGAGCACAGCTTCTGGGGCAGAGCAGTGTGTAACTATTACAAACGTGAATCAGAAGCAAGGTGGCGTTTTTCACTGGCCAAATTAGCAAATTTCAAATGTTCACATCCCAAAGCTGTTTAAGGAGGTGATGTCATGATTAAAACCAAATCCCACTCCACACTGACTACTAGGCCCCTGGCCCACTCCATGACCTCACCTTCTAGAATGTTCCTGCTACAGGGCCTTTGCTCTTGGGCTGATTCCACCACTTGGGAGGCTTGTTCCCCTGATCTTGTGGGTCTCCTTCTCCTCCTTCAAGTCTCTGTTCCAATGCCCCCTGTCCCAGAGCGGCCTTCCTGACCCCGACACACATCACTCCACCCCTCTGCCTTGTGTATCGTTCCACACAGAGCTTGCCCAAGTCTGGCATCATTTACTTTTGTTTTGTCTCTTCCCATGAAGTATAAAGCCTATATTTATAAACCTGTGTGTTCTCTAGTCCTTAGGAGAGCACCCGACATAAAGAATAAATGTTCAGTTAATGAACCAGGTAGGGGTCATTCGCCTTGGCTCAGGTAGAAGTAGAAATTGTTAGTCATCTCACAAAGTTTCAAGCAGAGGACTGCGGGCCCACGAGGAGCCCTCTATGAATACTGCAGAACCAGCCTCCTCTGCTGGGCGTCTGCAATGCTGCGTGGTACTTCTGCAGTCCTCCCTGGAACGAGGAGCCTCAGAGCGAGCTGCGGTCTGGCAGCACTTGTCCCACGGCCCTCAGCTGCCTCCCTGGATGCAGATCTGGCTGCATGCTGGGAAACAGCAGGTCACGTCTTGGGGTTACTGATCAGCTGATGTTCCAAGAATAAGGGAGCTCCCTGCTCCCTCCTAGGATCACAGACCGTTGAACGTAGGTCATAATGAAGCTGTGGAAATTAATAAGCCTTGGCCACGGTGATTAATTGCTGGTGATGATAATCAGCCATTAATTCAGACTCCACTGGTCAAGGCTGCCGTGATTCAGTTTCTGGAATATAAAGTGCCAGGTGCCAGGTGATTAAAAGCTTCCAAGGTATTCTTGAGCAAGGGACTCTGGAATGTCAGCCTCGTGGATGGGTCACATCAAGGACCAGCCAGACTGCTGGACTTGGAGCTGAGTTTCTACTTCAGGCAGGTGGTGAGTGGGGGGTGGGGGGCGGTGGGCAGGAATCCGGGCTACCCAGGACAACTTGCCAGGCAACTGACTGACTCCTTAAGGGCCAGTCCATCCTGTCTCAATAAAGAGCCCAACCTGGGGCTCAGGCCAAAAGCCTGGGCATCGTTCTTGATTTTTCTTGTTGCCCTTCCCCTGACACCCAGGCTACCAGGTAATACTGACAGCTGCCCCTCCAAAACGTACCCCAAGTCTGAGTGCAGCGCCCCATCTCTGCTGTCACGCCACTGGGACAGCCACAGCGCTTCACCAGCACCTCACTTTCACCCTTGCCCCCACACTCCACTTGCCACATAGAGCTTGAAAGATAAAAGTCGCAAATGTGGGAGGTTCTCTTCCCCGACTTGAAACTCCACAATGTACTTGGAATAAAATCCACAATTTCTTCCCCATGGTCTGCAAGGCTGTACACCATCTGATCCCTTCCTACCACCGTCTCCCACGTCACTTCCTACTGGTCCCTATTTCATACACCAGGGTTTGTCCCACCAAGAAGACAAGCTCATTCCTGCCCCAGGGCCTTTGCACTTGTTCTAGCTAGCAAACCCCTGATCTCAGAAGGTCTGGGGCACTCATGCCTAGAAGCAGCAGTATGATGAAGACTCCTTCTCCTGTGACCTCTGCAGGGAAGGAAACCAGCATCCACGGTGCTCCTAAAAATGCCGGGCGCCACCCGACAGGCTTGCAGTCGTGACTGCTAATCCTCCCGATTGTGAAATTAAGAGACACCTGCTCCTTGGAAGAAAAGCTACAACAAACATAGACAGCATATTAAAAAGTAGAGACATTACTTTGCCAACAAAGGTCTGTCTAGACAAAGCAAGGGTTTTTCCAGTAGTCATGTATGGATGTGAGAGTTGGACCATAAAGAAAGCTGAGCACTGAAGAATTGATGCTTCTGAACTGTGGTGTTGGAGAAGACTCTTGAGAGTCCCTTGGACTGCAAGGAGATCAAACCAGTCCATCCTAAAGGAAATCAGTCTTGAATATTCATTGGAAGGACTGAGGCTGAAGCTGAAGCCCCAATACTTTGTCCACCTGATGTGAAGAACTGACTCCTTGGAAAAGACCCTGATGCTGGGAAAAGTCTGAAGGCAAAAGGGGAAGCGGGTGGTAGAGGAAGAGATGGTTGGATGGCATCACCGACTCAATGGATATGAATCTGAGCAAACTCCAGGAGATAGTGAAGGACAGGGAAGCCTGGCGTGCTGCAGTCCATGGGGTTGCAGAGTCAGACGTGACTTAGCGACTGAACAATACCATCCCAGGCAGAGCCCGAGGCTATGGGCCATAGGCACACATACAAATGACCCCGCACCCAGGCAGTCTATTCTCTGGAAAATCTTGGAGGGGGACACGGACTCTGCCCTGAGCTGAGCCGGAGTAACACCAGCCTTCAGCTGCTGGGCAGCTCCAGTGCCCACCCCAGTCTCCACCCTTGGAGTCCAGCTGGTCCCTCTGGCCTAGGAGGAGCAAGGGACAGGTCCAAAGTCACCCAGAGTGTTTGGGCAGACCCAGGGTTAGAACTCACACCCCTGGGCTCCTCCTCTCGCCCTTATCTCAACAGAGAAGCTACTGTACTTTGAACCTCGCCGTCTAACACTGTGCTGTGCATTAAGGGTGAACAGCACCCGTGAAGCGTGGCACTCGATGCCAGGTACACCCCAGGCACGATGAGCCCCACCTTCCCTGCACAGCCGCAGGCGCCTCCTCATACACCCTCAGCAGGACAACCCCCACCGCCAGGCACTGAACCAGCCCCTGCTCCCAGCGTGGCTCTGAGTTCGGGAGCTGGGGTGACCAGCCTGGGGTCGACCATGCCTCCCTGGGGAGAGCAGCAGCATCCCAGACCTTTGGGAAGAGACCACTGCCAAGCCCTTCCCTTGGAGGGGGGGTGGTGCTGCCCTCAAGACCAAAGGAAAGGAACTCAGGCAGAAACTCAGGCAGTTGCCACGCAGACTGGCATTTGAAGGTTCATCTGATTACCTTTAGAGCTAAACGGCTTCAGACAAGTTTCTTGACCTCTCTGAGCCTCAGTTTCCTCATCTGTACCATGGGGGCAAGACTATCTTTTTAATCTGGCTTTTGTTGAGATGCAATGAGAAGACATATGTGATGAACCTGGCCAGCATCTAGGATGCAGTAAGTGGTCAAGTGTGAAAGTGAAAGTGTTAGTCGCTCAGTCATGTCCGATTCTCTGCGACCCCATAGATTGTAACCCACCAGGCTCCTCTGTCCATGGGATTTTCCAGGCAAGAACACTGGAGTGGGTTGCCATTCCCTTCTCCAGGGGATCTTCCTGACCCAGGGATTGAACTGAGGTCTCCTGAACTGCAGGAGGATTCTTCACCGTCTGAGCCACAACGTGGCTCTATAAATTAGTCCTCAGATAAAGGTGGCTGGAAAGTGGAAGTGTTAGTCATTTCATCTTGTTCAACTCTTTGCTACCCATGGACTGTGGTCAAGAAAGGGTGGCTGACAGCACCCTTTTCATGATAAATCGTTGTGTTTCCTAGATCCTTGGATGCTAGGAAGCAAGGACTGCTGGGGTGAGGCTGTGAGCTGCTGAGTCAGCCTGGGGACCTGACTCACCGCTCCCTTAGGGTCCGAGATCACTCTCAGGCCACGTTCACACAGCCACTTACCCAGCCCACCGCACTGCCATCCCTCGATGGACCAATTTTTCTTTTTCTTCTTTTCACTGTGCCATGTGGCTCGAGGGATCTTAGTTCTCCAACCAGGGATTGAACCTGGGTCCCAGCAGTGTAAAGCGCTGAGTCCTAGCCACTGAACTGCCAGGGAATTCCCCCAACTCTTCTCATTTTCTATTTATTTATTTACTCGGGCTGAGTCTTAGCTGTGGCATCCGGCATATAGGATTGCGTTTCCTTGATCAGGGATCGAACCCAGTCCCCCTACATTGGGAGCGTGGATTCCTAAGCCACTGGACCACCACGGAAGGCCTCCCCCTAACTTTTCTAATTGTACATGTTACATAGCATTCGGAATATTAATACCCAGTTTCACCCTCAGTGAAATTTTTTCATATAAAGAAATCACACCTACCTCCAGTCCCATGCCCCCCAGGCCCCCACACGGGGTGCTGGGCTGACTTACAAGTCAGGGTGCTCACACTGGTGGGGAGAGCGTGGCTGGAGGGTGGGGCTTCTAAGATGCTCCCTGACTCAGGGCAGGACTTGACCTCAGATGGTTCCGGGTATGACTCCTGCCTATTCGCGGCTCGTTCTGGGGGGACAATGAGGGATGCTCAGGTGGCAACAAACGTAGTTCAAGGCCAGTGGTCCTGGGAGCCGAGGGGGCTCTTCTGAGACCTTCCTCCAGCTCCACCTTCTTAGGTGCCGGCCTGTCTGGCCGCTCCTCTGGACCCTGCCACATGGGGTGCTCACTCGTGATTCTGGCCTCATCGAATCCCCTTAAAGGCAGCTGTAAGGATGAGGGCTCTATCACTTCATCTTCTCGTGGGAAGGAGAACACCAGTCAAGAGTGCACGCTGGGGATCTTCCCTGGCGGGTCCAGTGGTTAAGACTCCAAGCTTCCACTGCCGGGGGCATGGGTTCGATCCCGGGTCGGGGAACTAAGATCCCACATGCTGCATGGCCAAAGATAGGAGTAGACTCTGGAACCACAATGCCTGGCTTCAACTCCTGCCCTC